ATCCAATTAAGATACGAACAAAGCAAAATCACCACTCATAAATTACAATAAATTAATTACGAAAAAAAAAAAAACAAGAGATTAACGGACCGATTGTTTCTTTCAGATATAGAATATGTTATGAAGCCGAAATTAGGACAGATGAAATATGAGAAAAAGTAGCACTAAATAATTACCGGATTGTTTGATGATGTTTAGAGGAGATTGTCAAAAAATTTCACGGTATCAAACTAGATCTTTTTAATTGCAAGCTAAGATAGTGTTCGGAAGTGAAAATCTTACAGTTTTTAATTCAGACAAAACTTCATTTTTCACCATTCCCATTTTCTTTTTTTTTTTTATTTTTGCACTATCCATAATATACAAAATATAAAATTCATCATTAAAACGTCTGATTCCCACCATAATATGCATTATAAAACGTAAAGTACTCTTGATACAGAGCAAACATTCAAATCTTGACTTCTTATGCACATTACGAAGACCATAACTTTCACAGGACCATCCAAACCGTCCGAAGTGCATAGTACTCTACACTTAATGCAAGACCTGGCTTCAGATATAAACAAACATCGATCATTAGAAAGATAATGGTGATAACAACACAGGTTAAATTTCAAACCCTGCAAATAAACACACAAAGCTATTATCATTTAGAAAGTTGTTCGCAATTACATGAATCTAAAAACATGAAAGTATTTTTTGGGTAGTACATCCAATTTAAGCTAAAAATTAGCTTGGAATTTCTATAAAAAGCGAGAGAATGTTGGAATCTAAATTTGCTAATACAACAAAAAAATGCAATAGGGTCTAGAAATATAATTTGTAGTCAGAAAAAAAACATAAAATTTGTGATTAGAAATAAATTTGGAGACGTAGAAATGACAGATCATTCACAATGAAAACAGTTTTGGAGCGAATTATACGAAATGATAAATATACAGAACGATGAAATCCGTATAATATCTATAGTAAATTTCAGAGTGGTGCTTCAAAGTGTGATAAAAATCAGGAAGCTGCACTACCTATAACTTACATATACAACTCGTAAGCAAATGTATAACAAATGAATGAGTAATCTAGAGGTATAAACCCACCATAAACTGGTATGCAGTCAGTCACACTGCGCCACAATGAAATAAAAGTTGACATTCAAGCTGCTATAAAAGAAACATTAAATGGCAACCGTTTGAACTGTTAAAATATCAACATAGATAAATATCATAATATAGACATAATGGGTAGAAGAAACAAAACAATGAATCTATTACAGTTAGACTATTTCATTAGGAATAAAAATTTATAGAAAATGCATAATCATCAGATAATAAGTCGGATTTAAATTTATTAGGAACTCTTACTACATCCTACACCCTTAAAAAGTAGTGGATATGGCTGGAAAAAAAAAAGGACTTAAATGATACTCTATTTTCTACTCCCTAGTTCAACGGAAGAAAAGAAAAATGAATCAGAATTATCGCTCCTCTAATATGAAATGAATCTTCACTGCCTTTCCACATGAATAAGCTCTCTTTTGCTGAAATTGAGTTCACGAAGCGTACGATAGTGATCCTGATCGGTGTATATTCGTTTCGGATAATCGAGGACAAGTTGATGATCTGTTGGGTAAAACCCAAGACCAGCAATAAGCACAAATATGGCCTGCAAGAAAAGAAAAAAATCTGGTCATATTTCCTAGTATCTGATAATCGTAACAGTATGAAAAAAAAAATGTTCCTACTCATTATTTGATAACCATTTTTACTAACATTTTAATTTCTATCGCTTTATAGGCTTACTACGAAAATATACTTGACGGCAGCACGGTGTGTCCATCGCCGCCAGCAAGAAAACGTAATAAAATTATCAAAAATGTTAATTCTGAATTGCTTTGAAAAGTTTTACAGACTTTACCTTGAGAGTAGTTGTGTCTTCCACTTCCATCATCTGACGATTACCATCCGGCAGGCGTAGAGAAAGCAGAAGACGACATCCATGACCATCTGGATCACCGATACATTTCATCCATTCATCTCGATCAATTGTTGTTAATTTGCTACCGCTATCTATGATGCCATCAATATCTGGCCAATCATTGCCTGTAAAAAACCGCCAATTTAAGAACTATTTTAGAAATGGACCGTGGAATAGTTTCTTCATTGCAAAAACGCAATTGTATCGCAGAATTGCAATATTTTGAAATGAAAATCAGAACTTTCAGGAGTAGAGAGGGTGATAGTATTCATAAATCAGTTAGCCTACACGGAATCTGTAAATATCTAAATCTTGCTACAACAAAATAAACATACCCTCACGAGGCTTTTTTGAATTACTGCAATCATCATCCATTATTTCGTCTTGCTGTAAAAAATGCGCACGCTTTCGATTTGTGGTTGGCGAGTCCTGCAGCTGTCAGCAAATGACGAAGGCAAAAGGCAATAATAAACACCAGAAAAGAGTTATCATATACCAGAACTTTTCCACAGGTATTTCCAAAAAAAGAAATTTCTTTTAAAATAACCCATAAACCTTTCTTCCCACACCTCATTTTTAAAGCCCAACTATATCAAATAAAATAACTGATGTGCAATTACATCCATATACTGATTATGTCCACAATCCTCCTTCGACATCAACCGTCCGAAATTGCTCGATGTAGGCGCTATTTTTAGTTGTTTGTCTCTTGTGTCGAAATCTGGACAAGCATCCAAAAATGTTGTAACTGAAAGTAGAGAATATATGCCATGTTTTTTTTTCTTTTTTATTTTCCACCGACGATTAATCCATTCATCATAGTAATGGCACATTGTAAGTATCGAGAAGGTAGGGAAAATCTTGAAAAGTAAAATTAGTTTTGTATTTTTTTGTTTTCTATGAATTCCATGTAAAACATTCCAATATCAGCAATGATTCTTATCAAATATATCAAAAGGCAGAACTTACCTTTTATGGAAAAAAAAGCAAAAAAATCTTTTTTTTGTGGAACAGTACTTACTTTGATCACAGAAAGACATCGTATCTTTGGCCCCAATTGTAATTAACTGTTCTCCTGTACGTGGATCAACTATGAAAACAGCTGGATAAGTAGATATTCGATAATAATTACTCACTCTATTCCCATCAGCTGAGTCTTTATGCACCTAAAGCATTCGAATTTGTCTAGACTGCATTTATGTATGGAATGATAATTCATACAATGGACATATCCAATATTTAAAAACTGAGATTCGCTTGCCTGCCAAAAGACGAAATTTGATCGAAGCAGTTCTTTTACGGATGAATTAGACCACACATCACGATTAAGAGTTTGGCAAGCGAATTCCAGATCATCTTGTATATTAACAAGCAGCCAATGTCCATGCAGTTGAGCTTCAGCCCGAACCTGTAACATCTATTAACCAAGTAGTACATTCAATGAACGCTATTATTGCTTTTGATACTGCTTCTAAATTGTTCTAATTTATTTTTCCACTGGTAAGTAACTTCTGATAAACCGTCAGTAAATCCCTGACGTTGAATCAATTTGCTAATACCTTGAGCTTCAGCCTACAAGCAAAGTGTCCCAGATCAAAATGGCTCGATGTCGAATTTTAATAACAATTCGAATAATTACTGAATAATGTTCACATTACTCAAAAGTTTCTATTGCAGCAGCGGAACTGTAACTATTCTCAGGCTTTATATGCAATGCATACTTCAAAATGGGGAAAAGATAATGATTTGATGTTGGAATATTGCTAAGCGCTTTGAAGTTGCACATTAGCTCCAATTTAATCATTATTTTAATTGGAGTAGCAATTATCAAATCTATTTACAATTTTAAATACTGTCAACCGTAATGATAAATATTATTTTCTACTGATTCTTTTCAATAAATCATGCTTACAATTAGATACTAATGCAACAAATTAAAAATTTTTCAAGAAGCATTGTGATTTCATAATATAAAAACATGGACGATATTTTTATCAATGATTTATAATGAAAAGTAACTAACAGCATCCCAATCACCATTGAACATAATATCTATCGGAGGGCGAAAAAGATTTTGAAGGGTTACACGCTTGGCAACCGTCGCATCCAATATAGTGTGCCTATTTTGTAGCATAGCCATTCTTTCCCCTGAAATCTACCATTTTAAAATATGTGGGAATTGAATTACCGATTAAATGATAATGCGTAAAGTGATTTCTGAGGAAAATTCAAAAAAAAGAGATTTCACCGTAAACAAAATAAATAATTCGACAAAGAAAATATAGCCGTCGTTCGACTGTCCAAATCATTGACTCTTATTAAGATTTAAGTACTTGACGAAGTGTCTCAATGAACAAAAAGAAAACTACCTGCTTCAGCACGAAAATCACGAGCCGTATCAAATACTGAAGCACCATCTCTTCCATTTTGTCGATCTGGAAATAAGGGGTGTTTTCAGAAAAGTTACCGTTCTTGTTGGAAGGAACATATGGAACAGCTATCTTCTCATTATAAATTTTGCCATAATAAGTTCGAATGAGGCGTAACCTACTATATTGCTGCGCAAATGTCTGCTCAATAATGGCCCCACGTATAGGCGCTATTGGCTCGCGTACATCACTGTTACCTACCGCTGACCTGAAAATATTTTCTACTGCCTCACAGTTATCACATCTTTAAAATTCTTGTCAAATTTAAGATACAAGCAAATAAATCAATTAAGTGGAATGTTGGAATGGTTAACAATTACATTAAAGTCATCATTATTAGGATGGTCAGATCAAGGACTGGTAGTTTCATACACCCTATGACAAAACAACTTTGAAATCCATTTAAGTTTTAAATTTTCTGATAAAATAAACAGTCAGGCAGAATATTTGCTAATAACAATAGATCATTACTAAGCAATTTGTAGTTGCACTCACCTCATATCATATAAATACTAAACTTCTGACGATAATGAATAAGCAAACAATTTGACAACATACACATCATTATTAGAACGGCTAACTCGAGAGTTTGTCGCTTCACACATGGTATGATTTGATACAACAGCATTACGCCGCCCTGCACCCTTGCTGACGCAAATGACATCTGGTGACTCATCACCGTTTATCGCCATTGATGAGGATGGTTGAAGCTGTTGAAAGTACAAATTTACGGCCAATTCCAAATTACCATTACACATTTCCAAATACTGGGACGCCTCTACCGCATTCGTGCAACCTGAATTCAATTGTTTTAATTTCATAATACTTAATCATTAAAGCTTAGTTCGAATTGTTGCAACATGCTACTGTACACAAGAAATACTGCTAATATTTAAAATCATACACCATTCAAATGTCCATCTTATGTGTAAATTTTCATGCAAAATTTATACGTCAGAATGATTTATGCAAATGCGACGAATGTACAAGAAATAATGTTTGCAAAAAGAACTTACCAGTAACGGTACGGAATTGTGCAGCGAGGATCCCTTCATTGTCAGCCATTTTGAACCTAGCAATTGTTGCTGGAATATTTTTCTTTCTTTATTGAAGATAAGTACTAATCCACTCAAAATATTCTATACCAAAGCAATGATTTACAATTCCCAGAAAAAAAAAACTTCTGATCAATGTGATAGTCAACCTAATTCGCTGAAAATGATTTTTGTACCATCCCTTAATACTTAATTATTCCGACAATATCCCAATTTCGGAAATTTTCCATTACTCCCGCACCTCTTCACTGTTAACCATATTTTCTCAAACCATCATCAAACCGTTGCATCACAATACATTGGTCATCTTGAAATTGTGAAATATTACGCTGGATTAATTCCTGTTAATCATTTTCAGGAATGTAAATTTATGAATATCCTGTTGAATTTTCAATTTCATTTCGTTGTTCCTCATGTTAATCTATTCGGAAAAGTTTCTGAACATTTCAAATTTATTTGCTTAATGTATTCTAATCGGAACTCCGTTATGAACACTATTAGTTAAACTTATATTTTGGCGAGTAGATGATTAGTTTTCAGGCCTAGGCTTATGATTACTTCTTTGAAATGTATTTTCAAATGAGATCCATCCTAGACATTGTGCATCGTATGGGGATTATAAAGATACCGCGCGTATTTGTATTCGAAATATTACGATAGCTTAGTAGTTGATTAATTGATAATTTGTAATATAAGAAATGATTAACCAAAATTTGGTAGGGAAATTGTAGGAGAGAGAATGAGTTCTGAATAAATTTTCAGGAAATTAATGTAACATTTGAATAATAGGAGAAAGAATGTAGTATGAGGAGAGATAGGAAAGACTGAGAAAATTAGGCAAAAGATGCAATTAAAACTAGAGAAGCTAGATTGAGAAAAATAGATTTTGTCATAAAATGAATCACTTTAAACTATCTCATCAAATCGATCCGTAACGCTGTTCGAGCTATCCCATGGCTTGACCGTAATGAAGTTGCTTTGATCGAGCTTTTTCGATTGCTTCATCTACCCAACTGTCAAGATCCTTTAGTATATTCTCAACTTCTTCGAAATTTTCAAAATATCCTCATTGTGTTCTTTTTTTTTTTTTTACAACATCTGGTGTCGAAATACGTGGACGATTTGACTAATAATTAGCACAAGTGCAGTATAAATATGATAAATGATAAGATTGAAAGTTCATGTAGCAATAAGTTCTATTAATAGTATGTTTGAATTTAATGTAATTGTAAGGCGATATGGAATGAATATTAATTTCACCATTTTTTTCTTAAATTTTTCAGGAGGTGGAGGAGGTGGTAGATGGCGATAAATGTTGATTACTATTTGAATCGGATACGTTCCACAGTAACTTCAGTAGCAGCACAAGTAAGTAATGCTTTACCGGGAAATCCTGTAACGCGAGATTATGAAGTATTATCACAAGTTGGAAGTGCTGGACCGGCATTTAGTTGGAAGGTTTATGCGGCTCAAAAACGCTCAACTAAAAAGGTAACTATTCCGGAACAGTGCAGACCTTTAGGTATTTTTTGATTGAGCTCATTACACTAATCGTACTTACCTTTATCATGTTACTTGTATGCTTATATATTTTGTGCCTTTAATATCATATATATATAGCTCTTTACTTTTTATTTTTATTTTTTAGTTTTATCAAAACCATCGAAATGATCGCATCTTATTTTAGCCTGTTTCGGTTTGGCTATTTGAGAAACGAAGCTTAGAGAAATGGCCAAGATATGAAAGGGAATTATTCTCGGAAATCTTGAAAAGAGGAGTATCCCAACTTACCCGATTAAGGCATCCACGCATTCTCATTATTGAGCATCCACTCGAGGAATCGCGGTTAGCTTTTTTTTTCATCCATTACTTGCGGCAGTCCTTAGAAAATTTGTTAAAATATACCAATGAAATCGCAGTTTCTCGAGGAGCACATACCGATTTTCTGTGACTCCGTTTCCTTGTTATTCCCGTGATTTTTCTAAGAATATTTCTTCAGAGACTCATATGCCTTCTGTACAGAGCCTGTGTTCGCATCGTTGGCTAACGCTGTTGGACGTTTAGATAATATAAGTCCTTGTCCAGTACATTTAAACGAATTCGAACTTTTAGATATCGAAATTCGCTATGGACTTTTTCAAGTAAAGTGGCATTTTTCTTTTTTAATTTGACATTTTCTTAATTACTCATTTTGCTGTAGCAGTAATACTTACTTTATCCTTTCTAAACTACTGCAGGTTGTTGAAGCTTTATCATTCCTGCATATTGATGTACGAATGATGCATCGAAATATTTCCCCTGAAAGTGTGATAATTAATGAAAAAGGCGAATGGAAATTAGCGGGTTTCGATTTTGCAGTACAAGCAACGCAAGGTACCAATAATCAGGTGTGGAATTCGATTGAACCTCTCCAGATACATGTGATGGTCTTTGTCGAATTCAGCACTGACAATAATTCTCTAGTTTTGATGGAAAATCTGCAATAGGCTATTTATAAAAGCAAGTTTCTATGTAGATTAGCTATTATGAGGTTCTGTCGACTTTCTAGGTGATGTACGAAATGCTGGAATGGAATCAGCGGACGATGTCCGTTGTCCAACCATTGTTAGACTATCTGGCTCCAGAATATGTGATTGGTGGTCGGTGTGATCCATATGCTGATATATTTTCATTTGGAATTATGGCGTTAACAGTTTTCAACAAAGGAAAACAACCATTTGATAACAGAAATTCGTTGGATAATTTTCGCAGAAATACTGAAAAGGTTATATATAGAATTGGTATATTCTCATCATTTCTATAAATATATTGTCAGTGAACAAATTATCTTCAGTTAAACACATTACCCGTGTCAATGTTCGTGAATGTTCCTGCCGAACTTCGTGACGATCTGAAAATGTGCTTGAATCTAACGCCTGATCTCCGACCCGACGCTACTCAGTTTTCCAAGGTGATTCTATATTGTTCCTTTCAGCTGCGTTATTAATAACGTGCCTAACATCTAGCATACAATACGAAATGTAATTTCACTTAATATTTAAAGGGTTTATCACAGCAGCATCAAATATAATTGCATTTACAGATTGTCTATTTTGACGAACCATTAATTCGAACATTGAACAGTTTGGATTCTTTATGCCAAATGGACTATACTCAGAAAATGAATTTTTTCAAGCAATTACCACAATTCTTGCTGAAATTCCCAAAAGTAAATACTAATATAAATGTCGGAGAACTTTTTGAAAAATAAGCAATATCATTTTCAGTCCTATTTATGAATCTTTTATAATGAGTATCTATTTAAATGATAATGTACACTTCTGATGAGATGTGAATTTTCCAGCGACCGCTTATACAAAAAATCCTTCCGCAACTATGTGCAGAATTTATTGCTGCAGAATTAGTGCCGTTCATTCTTCCTAGTGTTTTTTATATTGCTGGAATAACTAGTAATGATGAATTTGCTGTAGCTGTTTTGCCACAGCTAGTCCCGATATTCACTCTTGAACGACCTTACCAAGTAGGTTTATTAATATTGTAGGGCGTTATTGTTTCGAGCAAAGTACTTTACGTTATTCCCATGTTGGGAAAAAAATATTTCTACCCCACTTATCTCAATATTACAGATTTCGTTGTTGTTTTTGCAAAATATGGATCTGTTATTGCAAAAAACAAGCGAAGAAGATGCTCGTAAATATCTGTTGCCTTTAATTTGTAATGCTTTATCCAGCGAGACTGTGAAAATCCAGGTGCTTTTATTAGTATTCCCAAGTGGGACTTAATTCTTATTCAACTTTTCTAAAAACTATAACCAAAAAAACTTGTACTGTTTTTACGAAAAAATAAATACTTGCAGGAATTATGTCTTTCAATTGTCCCCAAAGTTGCGACAATGGTTGAAAGACAGTCTATGAAAACAGAAGTTTTACCCAAATTGTTACAATTGATTATTGATGGAGGAGGAGTATTAGCTGTGAGACTTGTTCATTTTCGCTAATTTGATCAGCATTTTATTTTGTGCTTAGTTAGTCAATCGACGAATTCAAATTCTTATTTTTTTCTTTATTTATGGTTTTGGTAAGCTAAAACGTGTTTTTTTTTCTTTTTTTTTTAGTGAATATGTTTTATAGATACGAGTTCAAGCATTGTTGTGCATAGGGAAATTGTTACCCTCTCTAGAGCCATGGATGGTTACAGATCAAATCATCCCAGCTTTGCCTAAAGTAATTAGCCGAGAGCCAGCAATTCTTATGGCTATTTTAGGTTTGTTTTATTCCTTCAACTTTCCATGCATCATCACTTCTTAGAGGACCTATTTGAAATCAGATAATGATTTAAGGTAAAAGGAGGTTATGACAGCCATCTTTTCAAAAATTGAATATGAGACACTCTAAAAGTAATCGAATGGATTCGTGTCAGTGATGTCAGTGATGGTTAATAAAGGAAGATATATTTTGTGGATGAAATTTAGATTAATGATTGGAGTGCTTTACTTCCAGGAATCTACAAATTAGCGTATGAAGAAAGTCGTTTTGGTATAACTCGGGAACAATGTGCCAGAAGCATTTTACCTTTTCTGATTGCTTCTTCCATGGAAAATACATTGAATATGCCTCAGTTTGAGTTATACATGGCGTTGATACATCGTATCCTGGACAGGGTAATTGTTGCATGTTAATTTGCTCCTTAAAAAATTTATTTTTCAATTTAATTTACTTGTTGAGGGGTTTTTTTTCTTTTTTTTTTTTGATACTGGAATATACTACAGATTGAGAAGGAACAACGACAACGATTGCAACAATTAAGTGCTAGTCAAGAAGAACAACGTAGTATTGGCGAATTTGCTAGTATACTTGGGGAACCAGCTGCTCAAAATAAGGTAAGAGTTTCGTGATTATTTGATTACCATTAATTATATTGGAATATTGGTAAAGATTGATTTGGTTTTGAAAACTGCAAAGATTTCCATATCTTATGATAGGAATTTGTTAGGATTCATTGTCCGACAATCTAACAAATTTGATCATCGATGGATCAACTGATGGAAAACCAAATGGCATTGATAGAAATACTGTAAGTAATGCCACTGTTTATTTCTTTGCTTAATTTACAAGTCGGACAGTTGCTGTGAAGACAAATCATTGCTTTTAGTATTGAATTTAATTGATTCCTTTTTAAATTCGACCTTACGTTTTCGTATAACACGTTAATAGTATATATATATATATATATATTCATGTTTGAATTATATTTTAGGGGCTTTTGAGTCTTGCTGCTAAGAAAAGACTAGCAGCCGAACGAGAGCAGAACTTACGAATGCGCAGCCAACCGAATCTTTTGCAACCAGTTAGTGCTAGAGAAAGCACAAATAAGAGCGAAACTAAAACTCCAGATTCTTTCATCTCACCAATCGATTCTGCTGTCGACGTAGTTGGTTGCAGTTCGTTGGTCCCGTCTGCTTCCATTTCGACATATCAGACTCACATAGATCTCTCCGATTTTCTTCCTGCACCGTCTATCTCTGAAAAAGTTTGTTTTTTTATGGAACACTTATTCCTTTAATCACTGGAAGATGTTCGATCTTGTTTGCATATTTAAGCAATATAATACCCTTCCCACCAGATGTTCCTGCACGTAATGAATATCAAAATTTCTGATGATTCAGGTCAAAAATGAATCCACACTGAGCAGTATGGATAACCCGGTTTGGCCAGATCCATTCAAAACAGGACCAAACAACTCGTTAACATCGTTTGTGCTCCAGCCAACAATCAATACAATCAGTTTACCTGATCCACCAGTTGTACAAAATCCAGTGTCTAGAAGAGGTTCAGGCCAACGAATGACAACAAATCGAGCGGGTAATGCATCACTGAATGAAGTAGATCGGAAGTTAAACATGTCTGCTTTTGATGATATTGTGTGTTTTCCGACTAAACATAATACCAAAAATAACTTTACACTAAATTCACAGAATAATCATTCTAAGCAGAATAACCTAATAAATGATGTCTTCGGTGATTTATTAAAATGAAATGTTTGACATGGTGAAAGACTTCGGAAATATTTTATGTCAATTTTATGCAGTTTGTTGCTTGCATTGTTAAAATTTTGGTTTCACGTTTTTATTGACATCTAAGATCTTCTTTATTAGCATCTTTTTCCAATAAAATCAGAACTGCTTTTTCTTTTCTTTTTTTTTACTTTTTATATAATATGTATCACAAGTGAAAATTTAATAGGTTGCTATCTTTTTAATTTTCAAAATTTGCGCATTTTATGGATGTAATCCTGTGATTTCACATACTTTTCGAATACGTTTATTTATTTCAGCATTTCATGTATTTCCGGTTTATCCAATCTTATGCACTAATTTAGCTTTTGTAAATATGAATATATTGTTTGCTTTTTTCTCTATGGTTTTTCTTTGCATACACATTGTTTCCTTGCTGTTATGAACATAGTTCATTTATGATTATACTTCTCTTTTTATCTATGCGTATATAGTTTTTGTGATCAGTGATAAAAGTGTGATGCTTGTATTTATTGATATATAATGTCTTGTAATTAATTTATCATCCATATCATAGAGTAATCAAATCAAATTTTGTGCGGTGGAAATTTGAAAAAAGTTACAGAATTTCAGAATTGTTATGGTTAATAATTTATTGCAGTTGTGGAGCTTTAGAAGAGATTTTGTTAATTTTGAGAAAAGTGTAGAAGATACGCAATGCGTTATATGGTTTATTTCGAATCATTAAAAACATGGTGATTTGGTTGCAAAAATTAATAATATTTTATCAGTTTCCATCCCAGTAATTAGTGGAAAGGTAAGTTTTGCTTGTTGATATATTTGATAAAAATCACTGTTGATATTAGAATATTTTGCATGGAATTCACAGAAAACAAAAAGTACAAACTATGCGACAATACTCTACTACGCATTACTTTGTTCTTTTTCAATGATTCCACTGGTATTGCGACAAATGCGCATGAAAATAATATTAGAAGAGCACCAGTAATAAAATACGTGTGTTGCATTCATATGTGGAAAGATTATATTAATAGGTTTTTACGTTTAAGTAAGATTATTCATCAGTTCCATGGAACCCTTTCTTTAGATAATTGCTTTAAATTCAACTGTTAACGGTGATAGTGACATGAAAATTTAAAAGCTGAAATTTAAAAGTTTGAAAAAAGTGGAAACAATATGAAGAGGATAACGATGGTAAATTTTGAAATCGAAAATTTAACAACTAATTCTAATTATCGCTGCATCATTCTCTAAGCTTACTTCTGGAGGATGGAGTTCAAATCCATTAATTTTTCACTTCAATATCTGAGGGAATTAAATTTGAGTAATGAAGATTTCATTTTATCATTTTATTATTAATTGCCATTGTAACGCCAAGTGTAATTAATTAATTATTTGTTTAGTCTTTGGAAATTATTTTTTCTTTTACCTGCACTAATTGGAATACCAAATAACATCCCAATAGATATCACTAATGGATGCAATAAAGTAATTCCAAAATTTATGAGGAAATTAAACCCTGGAAAAAAAAAAGAGCAAATCAAGGTAAACAAATTTGATTTGGTTTACAAGCTAGAAAATGAGAATATCAAAAACTGAATTTGATATAAATTTGAATTATGAGATTTCATCAGCTTATCAATCTAATTGTTAAGCGTTTCTTGAACTTACTAAAAGTGTTAAATTTCAGAATTTTTTTTGAATGATTACTTAAAGATTTAACGCTTAAATCATTATTATCTTTATAAATTAAAAAAAAAAAATGTTGCATCTATTAGTAAATGGAAAATATCATAAAAAATATTTACGCAATTTACGATAGAAATGCAACATCGAGTACCGGAAGCAATGGTACATTGGACTAGGTGAACGTTTCTACGCCATTTACGAGTGATATTAGTAATAGGTAATGAATTAAGTGTAGCATTAAGTAAACCTAAACCATTCATAAAAAGTGATACTTGATCAATTGTCGCATCACAGATTACTTTTTTAAAAAGAACCTGAAAACAAAAATAAAAATAAATGTAACAATTAATATCAAAGAAAGATCAACTGATTGGAAGAAAGCGAAAGAGGAGAAATGAATATGATTTTTTTTTTGTTTTTAAAACTTTTCACTCTTTTATATTAATGATTTTTTAAATCTTTTCTTGATCAAAGATCACTTTTGGTTTTTTTTTTCTTTTTTTTGTAACAGTGATCATAAGGTTTGAAAAGAATAAATTTTGTTGATTTGAAAATAAACCCCAATCAAAACTTTTTAACATATTAATTTATCAAAACATTGATAAGAATAACACTCTATATTTCCTGCTCATTGCGTTATCGCATTTACTGAATTATCCTGCTTTATATGAATTTCAATTTCTAAATTAAATTAAATTAATTAATTCTCCACTGATTTTAAATTAATCAATTTTCCATTAATTTGTTAAATTAATTTTCTGGTATAAATTATCAGTGCAAAACAGAAAAGTTAAATTTAGTGGTTATTAACCTAAACAAATTATCATTGTTTAGATAAAAGGCAAAAAT